ATATATATAATTTATTTATTTATTTTTTTAGTTGTGGGTGGACACACAATATATTTCATTTTTATGTGGTGCTGAGGATCAAACCCAGTGCCTCAAACATGCTAGGTGAGCGCTCCACCACTAAGCGCTCTACCACAACCCCAGCCCTGAATATATTCTTATTTATCTGCCTGTCCTCTATCTATCTGTAATATACCTATACATAAAGGGGAAAGGTGAGAAAGGAGAGTAGGGGCATATTTTAAGTTCCAACCTCTCTTGATGTTCCACATTCTCCTGTAATTACTGACCTATGCTAGACCCTGTCTGAACATAATATTGGAAAGCCTTCAGTCAGAAATCACTATAATGTCTCTTTCCTAGCTCATTTTGGAATTCTTTTTTCCAGTTTTCTGATGCTACATCACTCTGTGACCAATCCTTACTGTTTCCATGGGACCTGAACTGATGAATGATCCATCCTTTACTGCTTGAACTGGTTCTAGCTGATGATACAGCCACCCAAAGATCTGTTCGTAATCATTCAAGAATTAATTCATGAAGCTTTCCCCCTTAACCATATGAAATGATTAATTGCTTTTCTATTATTTTTGTTATACTTTTTGTCCTTAATTGTTAGAGAAAACATTCATATTTACTATACAGATATGCCTCCCTTCACACTCTCGAATACCCCGAGCCATCTCAGGAGTTTTAATTGAAGGATTTAATAAACTCGCATGACTTTTGGAAAAAAATACCCTTATTGATATAAGCACGCCTGAAGAACATCTCTCCGCTATTCATAAAACTCACCTCTGAACATTGTTTTCTCTGTGTCTGCCTTTCTCTCACACACACTATGGAGTTGTGTGTGTGTGTGTGTGTGTGTGTTTTCAGAGACTTCTGCATCTATGGAAGCTAAAATAACATATGTGTCATACATACAACCATCACCACCACCACCACCTATACTGCAGGCTTATTTCAGTTATATTCTCAATTTCTAATTTGTCAGCCATTCTGATTTCCTTTCTTCCATACCTCAATAAAACTACCTGAGTACCTACATGTTGGGCATGTAAAAAACAGAGATGATACATACTGGCATAAAATGGCTTGCTTATCTCTGGAAAAGTCTCTGTCTTTGTGTCTCTCTCTCTCATTTCCCTACATCACTTACCTGTCTCTCTCTCTGATTCTCTCTGTGATACAGACAGAGAGAAGAGAGAAGAGAGAAGAGAGAAGAGAATGATGGGGAGAGAGAAGAGGCTGAAGAAAATAAAGTCTGAGAGCACTGAAGGCAATTTGAAAAGTTTGCGTGGAATCAACAATATTTTTCCCCACCACTGTCCTTGGAAATTCAAGCAGCAAATAAAGGTATTCTCATCAAATACTGCTCCACCACTGAATGGCAAAGGCAAGAATATCCACTTCAACTAGGCCCAGGAATCCAAGAGAATATTCAATCTGGAAGAATTCTAACCCCAAAAGAGCACCTCCCAAGAGATGACTACAGCTCCTATAGGAAATCACTTAACCACAAATTCCAACTCCCCTTCACTCCTACAGCCTCAGTCATACATCTCAAAGGGTTGATCCCTTGAATCGTGACAACCTGACCCACATCAGCAGCCCAGAGGCCATATGGCAACATAATGCCTTTCCAGCCCACTGGATAGGAAAAGGGAGGGACAACCAATTGAATGATTGTAATTGAAATCCTGTAATTTATGATTTGTCAATAACTCCTGCCTTTGGGAAGTTCTCTTCACCCCTTAACAAATTCTGGCAGCTACAATATGTAACTAAAAGCACCTAAAGCATTTCTGAAAGCATTTTATTGTGTGGTACCAATAAGATGAAGAATAAGGTCTCTCTGGGGATTGACTGCCAAGGTCCCGACCAGTTCAACATTCTCTGGGCAATGAAAAGGAACTCACTATCTCCACAGATAATTATTTTTATGTTTAAACAATTCTATTTAAAAATTTACTCACTTATACAAGCTCCAAATATGATTTCACATGAGTTCTACCCATTTTTCTGAGTTCTACCTGCTGTGGAATTATGTGGCCTGAGTAGACTTCTTTTCTATATTACAGCCACTCACATGACTAGAGACAGATATTATATCATGCATCCATCTATCATTTCACTTGGTTCTTCCTACCACTATCCATTCAATCTTCCCAATTGCATTACTCAAAACACATATCAAGTTGCCTATATTCTTATTGAAAAGTGATCATCAGAACAAAGAGGTATAGAAACAATCTGATAAATGCTGAACTAAGAACACTACCACTTGTTCTAGTTAATGTACTCTTTTATAGTCTACAATAGCACTCATTACCCTTTTGGCTATGACATCGCTGCTCTTGCCACAATATTACTTCTTTTATTCATATCTTTTAACCTGTCTTTATGAAGTTTAATTTAGAACCAAAGTCAGGATTTTATTTTGTTTTAGAAATATTCTTTTATTAAATGTGAATCATTGTTACAACATGCTAAAATCTTCTTGCATCCTTAGTCATAAAAATATTTGCCATCTGTCCACCCTTTCTTTCAAGTTATTGATGAAATATAATGATTATGACATGATCAAAAGAACAGACCATTAATGACTACTCTCCAAATTGATATGAATTTGAAGATTTGGGCCTTCTGGCCATTAAAATGTCAGAGTCCAGATTTATCATCCTTGCCACTCTTGTACTCTATTAATCTTAAGTTCTCTTACATTGGATAGTCTAGTCTCCTGCAATGATTTCCACAGGTAAGTTCACCTAGGACTTGGGGCACTCTGAGAGAAACCACTGTTTTAAAAATATCAAATATAAATAAAACTAACAAAAGAAATGAAAAAAGCTCATACCGAGAGCAACCTGATATAGTGGAAATAATGTGAGAACAGGAGTCTGAATGACCTGGGATTGAATCCTAGTTGCTTACCTTATCACCATCAGTTCTCTCATCTTTAAATAAGAGATAATAATAATGACCTCACAGGATTGTTCTGAAGATTAGAATACATGCAAAATCTTACCACATTCTTGGTATATAATGAATACACAATATAGATTACTATTATTATTCTAGCAGGGTAGGAGACAATAACTATACTGGCACACAAAGACAATTAAACCCAAGAAGAAAAAATGAAAACATACATTTATTGAAAAGTGACCATCAGATCTCTATATGCTGTGAATGTTAACTGATATTCCAAAAAAGAAGACTTGATAGTCTAATAAGATTAGGAATGAGGGCATTAAAGCTTTTGAAATCTCAGACATATTTTTCTTTGAACCTAAACAATACTGTCAACCCCTTTCTTAATTGCTCATGTCCCTGGTAATTTTTATAGGGTCCAAAAATGCTAAACATGATTCAGATTCAGTCAATGCCAGAGTAAGAAGAATACAAAATGTGGGAGTTGGGGGTTTCAGACACATAAATAGATGATTGAAATATCATCAGCGCTATAAGAAAAGTATATCCAGAACGTGTGAGGGAATAGCAACTTAAATGAAGATGTAAGTTAAGGCTTTATGAACAAGGTGATGATTCAGGAGGGCATTAAAGGTGGAGATAAGTTAAGGAATGAGGAAAGTATGTAGGTAATGAGGAAAGTATGTAGAGACTGGGGGGCTCTCAGGCCAGTGAGGAGACCATGTATAGACAAGAACTCTCTGGGCAGAGAGGAGAACACGTGGAGATATTTTTGAAGAGTGGACCACTACAAGATTATCCACAGAATATCGATCCTTCTAGACTGAGTTTTCCATAGTAGTCTGGTAGTAAGAGAAATGGATTCATGTCTATTGTGAAGGGGCTTGTATGTTAAGTAAAAGTTTAGAACTCAGCCAGCAAATGGAATGACATTTTAAGATTGAAAGATGAATTTGGCAAACTAATAAAGAAAAAGTCTAGTTATGATACTTTTTACAAATACCCAATTGAAAGCTAGTGAGGTCCAGAACTAAAATTGCAGTACTGAAGACAGAGTAAGCTGCATAAAGAATATTTTAAGTCTAGGTAGAAATGACATGGGCAGGGAAGTAAAGGAAAGGAAGAAATGAAAAATGACTTTGTCTAGTTTGAGATGTTCAGTGGATGGGGATGCTATTAATCAATATGTTGACTTCTAGTAGGGAACACAAAAATAAATTGTTTTGACCAATGTAGATTAAAGTAATAAGGGGCATCCAAGTCGAGATGCAATCTGTTCGACATAGTGGTATGGATTATCGAGAGAGAGACTGGGGAGTTTGTTATTCTGGAATATCAGAAAACCAACTGTATAAAGAAGAACATGTCTCTGATCCCCAAACGTAATAACATTAAAAACAAGGTTAACTTAGACTAATAATTCTTGACTAATAAACTCAGGCTCTTCCTAATGACTACTTCTAACACAAGAACTCACATTCTTGCTCTTTTGAAAAAATCAAAAGTAAACTGGCCTTATCTTCTTCACTCATCATAATTTCTAGAATATCAGCATTCATCTTATGGCAAGTTCTCTCATTACCCAGAGATGGAGTTCATAGATTAAAAAGGGAGAGGTAGGCACTGGTGATGTTTTTCTATCACAGATTGAACTTCAGTTTTTAAAAAGTTTGTAGTGTACCCTTATAGAGACAAGGATCAAGAAGTACATTTATCAACAGGTATTTATCAAAGTCAAAGTAGGGATCACCAAAAAAAAAACCAAACAAACAAAGTAGGTATGTGTCTTGCACACAAAGAATCTGCAATAAACAATCAGACTCTTCCATAAAATCTCCAATACATGGGGCTTATATAAACCCAAATTTGAAGCTTGCTAAAACAAGTACAGATGAGTACGTGAGGATGTTGGGAAGTAAACATATGTCACTGGAGAAATAGAGGTGGAAATATGGGTGGATCTGGGTTTGGTTAAGAATGAATCAGATCATCCCACAGAGGGTGGCTCCTCCCTGAATGGACTTGCTATAAAAAGGCCATTAATCAGACTTCAGTACCCAGCAAGCTCCTTCAGCTGCATTCTATTTGCTCTTCTTGTGAACAGGTAAGAGGAATACATTTAACTTTGCCTACTTAGTGTTAACCAAAGTGGAAATCTGGATGAATGTGTACTCTGAGGAAAAAAAAAGTACTGGTGTTTGGGGTTTTTCCTTTATCTTTGGTGTCACTATCACTAAAAGTTTATTTCTATATAGAAAGAAAATGAGGGCCAAAATCTATTTTCCATGGGACGTTCAATGATCTCTTTGTGTTGTTAGACTGTCCTCTTATACATTCATATAACAAATATACATCATCTATCTTTGTATTTGCCAAGAGCTGCTCTTAGCACTGGTTTTTACAGAAGTGAATTATATAAACTCCCTACTCTGAGAGGCTTACATTTAGTAGGGGGAGACATTCAGTAAACAATAAATAAATGAATAAGATAATTTCAAATTATGTCAAGAACAATGAAGAAAATAAAAGAGTGGTAGAGTAATAGGAGGAAGAGAGTATTTTAAATTGTAAGGCCAAGGAGGACCTTTCTAGGAAATTAACTTTATTTGCCTATTGAATAAAGTTTCTTTTTTTTAAATTGGCACATAATTGCACATATTTGGGGGTAGATATGATATTTTGATACATATATACAATGGGTCATGATTAAATCAAAGTAATTAGCATACCTATCACCTCAAACACTGATCATTTCTTTGTGTTGGGAACATTCAAAACCATTCTCTAGCTATTTTGAAACATAAAGCAAATTATTGTTAACTATGGTAACCTTATTGTGCTATAAAATATAAACATTCCTCCTATCTAACTGTATGTTTAGTTTCCACATATAAGTGAGAATATGTGGTCTTTTTATTTCTGTGACTGGCTTATTTCACATACTACAATATCCTTGAGGCTCAATCCATGTTGCCATAAATGACAGGACTTCATTATTTTTTATGACTAATACTCTACTGTGTATGTATGCCATATTTTCCATATCCATTATCCATCAATGGATACTTACTTTTGTTCCACAGCCTATCTATTATGAATAGTGCTGCAATAAACATGGGCAGGCAGATATCTCTTTGACATACCGATTCCATTACCTTCAGAATATATACTCAGTATTGGGAATGCTAGATTACATGGTAGTTCTATTTTTAGTTTTTTGAGGATACTCCATACTGTTTTCCCTAATAGCTATACCAACATTCCCAGGAACAGTATATAAGAGTTCCCCTTTCTCTATATCCTTGCCAGCATTTAGTATTACTTTTTCTAACTGGGATGAGATTCTCCATCAAGCTGAGATCTTAAAGATGAAAGACACTAACCAAGGCAAAGGGCTAGATTCTAAAGCAAAAACTTATTTCAAATTAGAAAAGGAGCCTACAGCAAATTTTTAAAGGGGAATAGTGGTATGTGGTGATATCAGAGAGCTAAACAGGTAGAGGCCAAGTAAAAAGGGTCATAATAGCCAGGTGTGGTGGTACATGCCTATTATCTTAGCAACTCCAGAGGTAGGCAGGATGACCATAAATTCAAGGCTAGCCTCAGAAACTTATCGAGACCCTGTCTCAAAAAAATAAAAATGGCTAGGCATTCGACTCAGTGCTTAAGCATCCTTGGTTCAAATCCCAGTCCCAAATTAAGGTGGTGGGCATAATAGAGTGGATATATTATTTTATTTTTAAAAATATTTTTAGTTGCAGATGGACACAATACCTTTATTTTATTTATTTATTTCTATGTGGTGCTGAGGATCGAACCCAGTATCTCACACGTGCTAGGCAAGTGCTCTACCACTGAGCTACAACCCCAGCCTCTATACATTATTTTAAATACATGAAAAGTCACTAGAGGGTATTAATCAGGATGAGTAAAATAATGTAATGTTTCTAAAAGATCACTAAATTGCTATGTGGAAAACAGAGTTATAAGGAATGCAAAAGTGGGATTAAGTTGATAGACTATAGTAGTTTAGGTGAGAAATGGAAATAATAAAAAATCATGAGAAATATCTGTTTGTAGAATCCAAAAACTTTTAACTTATCTTTGATACCCTGTCTTTACACCACACTGATTCATTACCATGTCCAGTCAGCTCTGCTTAAGCAACATGTCAAGTCCACTTCCATTTGTCTCCTTCACCACTATCATCCTAGTCCCACCTCTATTATAGTACATGAAAATACCACAACTTAATTTATCATTTTTCTAATGATAATTATTTGGGTTGTTTCTATTTGAAGAGGTATTATAAATAACAGAGCTATAAGCATTTTGTGTGAAACTTTTAGTTACATGTATATATGATTTGGGGGGAATATGATAGAAGTAACTGCTGGTTCTCAGATATTACCAAGAAATTTTTCAAAATGTTTCTTCCAGTTTATACTCTCTTTAGCTGAAAATAAAAGACCTCAGTTCTCCACATCCTAATATTTGTTGATGCCAAGTTTCCTTTTTATCTTTTTAGTCATTTTGGTGGGTATACTGTAGTTCCACAGTATAATTTCAATTTGTATCTCCCTAGTGATTAACAAGGCTGAAAACTTATATATTTATTGGCCACTTGGATATTCTTTTCTGTAAAGTTCCTGTGGCAGAGACCCAATTTTCTGTTGGCTATCTGTATTTATTTATTTATATGAGTTATTTTTATATTCAAGACAAAGCACTTTATTGGTTATATGTGCTATTTATGTCTTTCACTCTATGGCTTGTCCTTCTCTCCTTTAAAGGTAATTTTTAAATGAAAAGACAATCCTACTTTTAATGCAGTCCAACTTTCTAATCATTTTATGAATAGTACTTCGAGTTCTATTAAGAAGTATTTACCTACCCTGAGGTCTTGAAGGTAATCTATATCTTTTATGTAAGATCTATTTTTATTCCATATGGAAATTCTCTTAACCCAGAACAATCTACTCAGAAGTTACACTTTCCCTACTGACTGAACCACCATCTGTGTCATAAAACAAAAGCCCAGAGTGATACAGGGTCTGATTTTGGACTACTAACTTACATTGTTCCTTTTGTTTAGCCATGGACCAATGCCATATTGTCTCCCTTTATAATACACATTACTATCTGGTATATCCTTCAACTTTTCCAAGATTGTTATATCTAATCTTAGTTCTCTTCATTTTCATATCAATTTTAGAAATCATCTTATCAATCTTTACTTTTAAAAACTTCAGGGATTTTAAATGTAATTTTATTGCCTCTGTAAATAAATTTCAGGAGATCTGATATTTTAACAATATTGAAGCTTTCAATCCACAAATAAGGTCTATTCTTCTATATTCACCATCTGTGTACAGATCTTTCATTAGATTTCTAGAAATTTTCTATTTTTTATGTTTTTATAAATAGTATCCTTTCTTATTTCACTGTTTTACTATTATGTAGAAGTATAATTGGTCTTTGTATATTTATCTTATAGTCAATAACACTGATAATTTTACTTATTCTAAGAGTTTAGCTATACATTCTTTTTGATTTTCCACATACAAAAATATCATTCTGTAATTAAGGACAGTTTTATTACTTCTTTTCTAATTACTCTCTTTTTAATTGTTTTTCTTTATTGCTATGGCTAAGACCTTTATCCCAGGGCTGAACAGGATGAAATCAGGTATATTAAGTCTCATTCCCAAACCTGGAGGTGAAATTTTCTACATTTTACCATTAAATATGATTTTTGCTATAACATTTTCAGACATAATTGATGTGTTTTGTTTATAAATCAGAATTAATGTTGAATTTAAAGTTTTATTTATTTATTTTTAAATCTTGAGAGGTTTATATAATTTCCCCATTACTTTAGCTCTGTAGTTGATTGGTTTTCCAATATTAAATCAAACTTGAATTTTTTGAAATAAAACTTACTTAGGAGTGTTGCAAATTCCTCTAATAAAACATAGAACGATGCTTACTATTATTTCCTTTCAGATTATTGTACCTATATTTTTGGGAAAAAATATACTGAAAATTTCATTTCTTTTAATATGGTTCTGAGATTTTTAATGAATTGAGAAGTTAATGTTTCCTCTTTTTATTTTCTCTGAAACAATCTGTGTAATGTTTGTATTGTAATGATTTTTGGATATGGTCTTAAATACCATCATAAATAAGAATGGCTGAAAAAAATATTAAATTTTACAAGGCACATAACTGTATTTTAAAAATTCAGTCTTTATAATCTTCCACAAAGCCAAAATCTGGTCTTCTTTACATACATTAAAATTAATAATAAAAGTATATATAATTCTACTAATTTATTTCATACTTTATATTAATCATGCTTCTTTTATATTTTCTCCTTCTTTCTTTTGTTTTTCTTCTTTCCTGACTTATATTGAATTACTGGAGTTTTATTTCCTCTTCTCCTCTAAAATAGTTTAGAAGATTTAAATTCTATTCTTGTAGTGAACAAACTTACCAAAATGTACATTTGATTTAACCAGTTAAAATTGATCAATATCTATTTCCTCTTACCAAGAATCCAAGGCCCACAATTACTTTAATTCTGATTACTACATATACATTCGTGTCTTTCACATTGCTTTCTATACTATTTTAGATTCACCTGTTTTTAATATAGTCATTGTAACTATTTCTTAAAATCAATGTCTATTTACACTTATTTAGACATTTATTAATTTTTTGACCATCAATGATATAACTGCACGTTATTTCTTAAATGGTAAAATAAAAACAAATCAAAACCAAATTTGTTTTAACATTAAAAAGCTACTGAAGTCACACTATCCAATTAAAAATAGTTTAAACTTTACAAAATGTTTTTAAAAAAGGTAAATTGAATATTCAGTTTTTGCCTTGACAGCGGGCAAATTGCATTTCTCAGCAACTTTACTGTTTATAAAAATCATCTTTTGGGGGTGGGTAACCAGGGCTTGAGCCCAGTGGTACTCAACCATCGAGTCACATCCCTAGTCTTTTTTATTTTTGAGATGGGGTCTTACTAAGTTGCTAAGGGCCTCACTAAGTTGCTGGTGGCTGGCTTTGAACCTACAATCTTCCTCAGCCTTCCACGCTGCTGGGATTAAAGGTGTATGCAAACATACCAAGTGAAAATCAGCTTCTGATCATTGATTTTCAGCTAATTATTCTAGTAAATACTCTAGTGAGTTTTTCTAAATCTTGTATGAGCAACAGCCATTAAAACAAGGGGATTATCTTACGTTGAGCATAAAAAGGTCTATAAAGCTACAAAACTACTGTTGCAAATGGGTTCAAGTCCCAGAAATTAGCAGTCTTAGGAAATCTGTCAAATTCTTTCTTGATTCTACGTAGATGAAATTCTAGGTGGACAGTAAAGAGATTTCATGATCAGCATTCGTTTACAAAGATAGACTACATAAGGGCTATAGGTTTAAAATGTGGAAAATCACTATAATAATTAAAACAATTTTTTAAAAAATGAAGTATAAGTAAACTTTTATTTCTTCTTTTTAGGTTCACATATACTGCCTAAAGATGTCTACCATCATGGAAAACATCATTGCCATCATTGATGTATTCCAAAAATATTCAGAAACAGATAAAGAAACTGAAACTCTGAGCAAAAAAGAGCTGAAGGAACTTCTGGAAACAGAGTTTCAGCAAATTCTGAAAGTAAGAGCTATGTGATAAGACCATAATAGAACTTTCCTGATCTTCAGCAATGATCTAACGAAGTATTGTCCTGAATGTTTTTTGAACCATTTAATTTGTAAGTGAATCTGAGTTAGTCTTATTTCAAAGAGGTAGAAATTTTTTTCTATACCTTAAGTAAACTGCATGTACATGCGCAAACACACAAAGTGAAAGAAACATATATCTTTCCTTCTAAAAAATGAATGCCAATTAGTTACTCTATATATTGTTCTTCCCAAATCAAGTTTAATAATAGGGTATTTCTTAAAACATGAACTGTTATTTAAAATCATGACTCTTAAATAATAAAAACACACATTTATCACATCAAAACTTTAAATTCTTTCATACTAACTCTTTAAAACTTACCTAAAACACAGTATCTACAAAATTTACCTAAGTAAAGATGAGGTAAAAACATCACAGAAAACAACTAAGACTCTGGTTTCGTTTTTTTCATAAAAAGCGTTCATATAACGAAAATGCATGCTGATTTCCTTAGCTGACAATGGGAATAATATGACAATCTCCTTCTATCATTTCTCCTTACAGAATCCAGATGACCCTGACATGGCAGATGTCTTCATGGAAATGCTAGATATAGACCACAACGAAAAAATAGATTTCACAGAATTTCTGCTGATGGTATTCAAGCTGGCTCAAGCATATTATGACACCACAAAGAGTCAAAATTACCGAAAATCAAGTTCAAAAGGAAAAAGGCATAGTCATCTTGATGAAAATGAAACAGAGGATGGAGAAGAAGATGTGGAAATTGAAAGAAAAAGAACATCGAGGCATTCAAGAACAGATAGAAAGTCAAGATCCAAAGGCGCAACAGGAAAAGGGAAAAAAAAACATAGGACACGGTCTGGAGAGCGTGGAAGAAGTGACTCAAGCAAACGTACAGAAAGAGAACATAGACAAAAACACCATGATACAAAGGTAAAGAACAAAAAGAGGTCTAACTCATCTGAAGTCAGAGAGATAAGAGAAAACACTATCAGTAACGACAGTGAAAGACAAAAATATTCTCAAGAATCAAACACACACAGTACATTGGGTGCAAATAAAAAACAAACCTATGCACACAAGAACACAAGACAAAGCATTAGACATGACAGAAATACAGACAGGGAGACTCAAAAAAACACACAGTATAGGCCTGACAATGCAAGAGAAGAATCAAAAAGAATACGACACACACAAGAAAAAGAGCAGTCAACGGAAAGCGCCGGGCACTCAGGCACGGGCTCCTCTCACAGGCAGGCTGAATCTGCCCACGGGCATGCAAGAACAGGCCCCAGGGCAGGGCAGGAAACCCACCACGAGCACTCAGCGGACAGCTCCCGGCGCCACGGCGCGGGGCAGGGGCAGTCCACCTCCCGGGGCGACAGACGCCGAGAACCCAGCCTCAGTCAGGCCAGCGACAACGAAGGGCACTCAGAAGACTCGGCCAGGCAATCCCCATCGGCCCACGGAAGGTCCGGGTCCACGCCGAGGACCCAGCAGGGATCTACCCAGGGCCACGCACGAGACAGCTCCAGGGACACCGGGTCGCGTCAGGGACAGACTGCTAGACACACGCAGTCGGACACCGCTCACGGGCAGTCAGCCTCCAGCTCGAGGGGAGGACAGGGGAGCCGTCACCAGCAGGGGCCAGACAGCTCCAGGCACCCGCAAACCTCCTCTGAGGCCAGTGGCCGCGGACACAGCGAGGCCAGTGACAGCGAAGGCCAGTCGCAAGACTCAGAGGGTCAGTCCGACGTAGGCCACGGCCGGTCCGGGTCCCGACAGGGCCACCGCCAGGAATCCACCCCTGGCCGGTCCGGGGAGAGGTCCAGGCACTCCGGGTCTCGCCTGTACCGGGTAGACACTCAAGAACGGTCCGAGTCCGCCAGCAGACAGGGCCAGTCCGGTGCCAGGGCAACACAGAGCTCCCGCCAGGAGCAAGCACGGGACAGTTCCAGACACGGGGCCTCCCAGGACAGGCAGACGTCCACCGGCAGACACGTCGACTCCTCCCGTGGAAGGACCGGAACCAGCTCCGGCCGAACACAGGGATCCCGCCACGAGCAGGCCCGAGACAGCTCTGGGCACTCCGAGTCCGACGAGGGTGAGTTCACTGCTCAGGGGCACTCAGCATCCGGCAGTAGACGGGGACGACAGGGATCCCGCCAGGAGCAGGCACGGGACAGCACCGGGCACTCCGGGTCCCATCGCCGCCAGCAGGCCTCCCAGGGACGGTCCGGGTCTTCCCGCGGCCAGTCAGGATCCACCAGTGCAAGCAGACAAGCCCACGGCCACCAGCAGGCAGCGGACAGCACCAGGCACTCAGGCACGGGCTCCTCTCGCAGGCAGGCTGAATCTGCCCACGGGCACGCAAGAACAGGCCCCAGGGCAGGGCAGGAAACCCACCGCGAGCACTCAGCGGACAGCTCCCGGCGCCACGGCGCGGGGCAGGGGCAGTCCACCTCCCGGGGCGACAGACGCCGAGAACCCAGCCTCAGTCAGGCCAGCGACAGCGAAGGGCACTCAGAAGACTCGGCCAGGCAATCCCCATCGGCCCACGGAAGGTCCGGGTCCACGCCGAGGACCCAGCAGGGATCTACCCAGGGCCACGCACGAGACAGCTCCAGGGACACCGGGTCGCGTCAGGGACAGACTGCTAGACACACGCAGTCGGACACCGCTCACGGGCAGTCAGCCTCCAGCTCGAGGGGAGGACAGGGGAGCCGTCACCAGCAGGGGCCAGACAGCTCCAGGCACCCGCAAACCTCCTCTGAGGCCAGTGGCCGCGGACACAGCGAGGCCAGTGACAGCGAAGGCCAGTCGCAAGACTCACAGAGTCAGTCCGACGTAGGCCACGGCCGGTCCGGGTCCCGACAGGGCCACCGCCAGGAATCCACCCCTGGCCGGTCCGGGGAGAGGTCCAGGCACTCCGGGTCTCGCCTGTACCGGGTAGACACTCAAGAACGGTCCGAGTCCGCCAGCAGACAGGGCCAGTCCGGTGCCAGGGCAACACAGAGCTCCCGCCAGGAGCAAGCACGGGACAGTTCCAGACACGGGGCCTCCCAGGACAGGCAGACGTCCACCGGCAGACACGTCGACTCCTCCCGTGGAAGGACCGGAACCAGCTCCGGCCGAACACAGGGATCCCGCCACGAGCAGGCCCGAGACAGCTCTGGGCACTCCGAGTCCGACGAGGGTGAGTTCACTGCTCAGGGGCACTCAGCATCCGGCAGTAGACGGGGACGACAGGGATCCCGCCAGGAGCAGGCACGGGACAGCACCGGGCACTCCGGGTCCCATCGCCGCCAGCAGGCCTCCCAGGGACGGTCCGGGTCTTCCCGCGGCCAGTCAGGATCCACCAGTGCAAGCAGACAAGCCCACGGCCACCAGCAGGCAGCGGACAGCACCAGGCACTCAGGCACAGGCTCCTCTCGCAGGCAGGCTGAATCTGCCCACGGGCACGCAAGAACAGGCCCCAGGGCAGGGCAGGAAACCCACCGCGAGCACTCAGCGGACAGCTCCCGGCGCCACGGCGCGGGGCAGGGGCAGTCCACCTCCCGGGGCGACAGACGCCGAGAACCCAGCCTCAGTCAGGCCAGCGACAGCGAAGGGCACTCAGAAGACTCGGCCAGGCAATCCCCATCGGCCCACGGAAGGTCCGGGTCCACGCCGAGGACCCAGCAGGGATCTACCCAGGGCCACGCACGAGACAGCTCCAGGGACACCGGGTCGCGTCAGGGACAGACTGCTAGACACACGCAGTCGGACACCGCTCACGGGCAGTCAGCCTCCAGCTCGAGGGGAGGACAGGGGAGCCGTCACCAGCAGGGGCCAGACAGCTCCAGGCACCCGCAAACCTCCTCTGAGGCCAGTGGCCGCGGACACAGCGAGGCCAGTGACAGCGAAGGCCAGTCGCAAGACTCAGAGGGTCAGTCCGACGTAGGCCACGGCCGGTCCGGGTCCCGACAGGGCCACCGCCAGGAATCCACCCCTGGCCGGTCCGGGGAGAGGTCCAGGCACTCCGGGTCTCGCCTGTACCGGGTAGACACTCAAGAACGGTCCGAGTCCGCCAGCAGACAGGGCCAGTCCGGTGCCAGGGCAACACAGAGCTCCCGCCAGGAGCAAGCACGGGACAGTTCCAGACACGGGGCCTCCCAGGACAGGCAGACGTCCACCGGCAGACACGTCGACTCCTCCCGTGGAAGGACCGGAACCAGCTCCGGCCGAACACAGGGATCCCGCCACGAGCAGGCCCGAGACAGCTCTGGGCACTCCGAGTCCGACGAGGGTGAGTTCACTGCTCAGGGGCACTCAGCATCCGGCAGTAGACGGGGACGACAGGGATCCCGCCAGGAGCAGGCACGGGACAGCACCGGGCACTCCGGGTCCCATCGCCGCCAGCAGGCCTCCCAGGGACGGTCCGGGTCTTCCCGCGGCCAGTCAGGATCCACCAGTGCAAGCAGACAAGCCCACGGCCACCAGCAGGCAGCGGACAGCACCAGGCACTCAGGCACAGGCTCCTCTCGCAGGCAGGCTGAATCTGCCCACGGGCACGCAAGAACAGGCCCCAGGGCAGGGCAGGAAACCCACCGCGAGCACTCAGCGGACAGCTCCCGGCGCCACGGCGCGGGGCAGGGGCAGTCCACCTCCCGGGGCGACAGACGCCGAGAACCCAGCCTCAGTCAGGCCAGCGACAGCGAAGGGCACTCAGAAGACTCGGCCAGGCAATCCCCATCGGCCCACGGAAGGTCCGGGTCCACGCCGAGGACCCAGCAGGGATCTACCCAGGGCCACGCACGAGACAGCTCCAGGGACACCGGGTCGCGTCAGGGACAGACTGCTAGACACACGCAGTCGGACACCGCTCACGGGCAGTCAGCCTCCAGCTCGAGGGGAGGACAGGGGAGCCGTCACCAGCAGGGGCCAGACAGCTCCAGGCACCCGCAAACCTCCTCTGAGGCCAGTGGCCGCGGACACAGCGAGGCCAGTGACAGCGAAGGCCAGTCGCAAGACTCAGAGAGTCAGTCCGACGTAGGCCACGGCCGGTCCGGGTCCCGACAGGGCCACCGCCAGGAATCCACCCCTGGCCGGTCCGGGGAGAGGTCCAGGCACTCCGGGTCTCGCCTGTACCGGGTAGACACTCAAGAACGGTCCGAGTCCGCCAGCAGACAGGGCCAGTCCGGTGCCAGGGCAACACAGAGCTCCCGCCAGGAGCAAGCACGGGACAGTTCCAGACACGGGGCCTCCCAGGACAGGCAGACGTCCACCGGCAGACACGTCGACTCCTCCCGTGGAAGGACCGGAACCAGCTCCGGCCGAACACAGGGATCCCGCCACGAGCAGGCCCGAGACAGCTCTGGGCACTCCGAGTCCGACGAGGGTGAGTTCACTGCTCAGGGGCACTCAGCATCCGGCAGTAGACGGGGACGACAGGGATCCCGCCAGGAGCAGGCACGGGACAGCACCGGGCACTCCGGGTCCCATCGCCGCCAGCAGGCCTCCCAGGGACGGTCCGGGTCTTCCCGCGGCCAGTCAGGATCCACCAGTGCAAGCAGACAAGCCCACGGCCACCAGCAGGCAGCGGACAGCACCAGGCACTCAGGCACAGGCTCCTCTCGCAGGCAGGCTGAATCTGCCCACGGGCACGCAAGAACAGGCCCCAGGGCAGGGCAGGAAACCCACCGCGAGCACTCAGCGGACAGCTCCCGGCGCCACGGCGCGGGGCAGGGGCAGTCCACCTCCCGGGGCGACAGACGCCGAGAACCCAGCCTCAGTCAGGCCAGCGACAGCGAAGGGCACTCAGAAGACTCGGCCAGGCAATCCCCATCGGCCCACGGAAGGTCCGGGTCCACGCCGAGGACCCAGCAGGGATCTACCCAGGGCCACGCACGAGACAGCTCCAGGGACACCGGGTCGCGTCAGGGACAGACTGCTAGACACACGCAGTCGGACACCGCTCACGGGCAGTCAGCCTCCAGCTCGAGGGGAGGACAGGGGAGCCGTCACCAGCAGGGGCCAGACAGCTCCAGGCACCCGCAAACCTCCTCTGAGGCCAGTGGCCGCGGACACAGCGAGGCCAGTGACAGCGAAGGCCAGTCGCAAGACTCAGAGAGTCAGTCCGACGTAGGCCACGGCCGGTCCGGGTCCCGACAGGGCCACCGCCAGGAATCCACCCCTGGCCGGTCCGGGGAGAGGTCCAGGCACTCCGGGTCTCGCCTGTACCGGGTAGACACTCAAGAACGGTCCGAGTCCGCCAGCAGACAGGGCCAGTCCGGTGCCAGGGCAACACAGAGCTCCCGCCAGGAGCAAGCACGGGACAGTTCCAGACACGGGGCCTCCCAGGACAGGCAGACGTCCACCGGCAGACACGTCGACTCCTCCCGTGGAAGGACCGGAACCAGCTCCGGCCGAACACAGGGATCCCGCCACGAGCAGGCCCGAGACAGCTCTGGGCACTCCGAGTCCGACGAGGGTGAGTTCACTGCTCAGGGGCACTCAGCATCCGGCAGTAGACGGGGACGACAGGGATCCCGCCAGGAGCAGGCACGGGACAGCACCGGGCACTCCGGGTCCCATCGCCGCCAGCAGGCCTCCCAGGGACGGTCCGGGTCTTCCCGCGGCCAGTCAGGATCCACCAGTGCAAGCAGACAAGCCCACGGCCACCAGCAGGCAGCGGACAGCACCAGGCACTCAGGCACAGGCTCCTCTCGCAGGCAGGCTGAATCTGCCCACGGGCACGCAAGAACAGGCCCCAGGGCAGGGCAGGAAACCCACCGCGAGCACTCAGCGGACAGCTCCCGGCGCCACGGCGCGGGGCAGGGGCAGTCCACCTCCCGGGGCGACAGACGCCGAGAACCCAGCCTCAGTCAGGCCAGCGACAGCGAAGGGCACTCAGAAGACTCGGCCAGGCAATCCCCATCGGCCCACGGAAGGTCCGGGTCCACGCCGAGGACCCAGCAGGGATCTACCCAGGGCCACGCACGAGACAGCTCCAGGGACACCGGGTCGCGTCAGGGACAGACTGCTAGACACACGCAGTCGGACACCGCTCACGGGCAGTCAGCCTCCAGCTCGAGGGGAGGACAGGGGAGCCGTCACCAGCAGGGGCCAGACAGCTCCAGGCACCCGCAAACCTCCTCTGAGGCCAGTGGCCGCGGACACAGCGAGGCCAGTGACAGCGAAGGCCAGTCGCAAGACTCAGAGAGTCAGTCCGACGTAGGCCACGGCCGGTCCGGGTCCCGACAGGGCCACCGCCAGGAATCCACCCCTGGCCGGTCCGGGGAGAGGTCCAGGCACTCCGGGTCTCGCCTGTACCGGGTAGACACTCAAGAACGGGCCGAGTCCGCCAGCAGACAGGGCCAGTCCGGTGCCAGGGCAACACAGAGCTCCCGCCAGGAGCAAGCACGGGACAGTTCCAGACACGGGGCCTCCCAGGACAGGCAGACGTCCACCGGCAGACACGTCGACTCCTCCCGTGGAAGGACCGGAACCAGCTCCGGCCGAACACAGGGATCCCGCCACGAGCAGGCCCGAGACAGCTCTGGGCACTCCGAGTCCGACGAGGGTGAGTTCACTGCTCAGGGGCACTCAGCATCCGGCAGTAGACGGGGACGACAGGGATCCCGCCAGGAGCAGGCACGGGACAGCACCGGGCACTCCGGGTCCCATCGCCGCCAGCAGGCCTCCCAGGGACGGTCCGGGTCTTCCCGCGGCCAGTCAGGATCCACCAGTGCAAGCAGACAAGCCCACGGCCACCAGCAGGCAGCGGACAGCACCAGGCACTCAGGCACAGGCTCCTCTCGCAGGCAGGCTGAATCTGCCCACGGGCACGCAAGAACAGGCCCCAGGGCAGGGCAGGAAACCCACCGCGAGCACTCAGCGGACAGCTCCCGGCGCCACGGCGCGGGGCAGGGGCAGTCCACCTCCCGGGGCGACAGACGCCGAGAACCCAGCCTCAGTCAGGCCAGCGACAGCGAAGGGCACTCAGAAGACTCGGCCAGGCAATCCCCATCGGCCCACGGAAGGTCCGGGTCCACGCCGAGGACCCAGCAGGGATCTACCCAGGGCCACGCACGAGACAGCTCCAGGGACACCGGGTCGCGTCAGGGACAGACTGCTAGACACACGCAGTCGGACACCGCTCACGGGCAGTCAGCCTCCAGCTCGAGGGGAGGACAGGGGAGCCGTCACCAGCAGGGGCCAGACAGCTCCAGGCACCCGCAAACCTCCTCTGAGGCCAGTGGCCGCGGACACAGCGAGGCCAGTGACAGCGAAGGCCAGTCGCAAGACTCAGAGAGTCAGTCCGACGTAGGCCACGGCCGGTCCGGGTCCCGACAGGGCCACCGCCAGGAATCCACCCCTGGCCGGTCCGGGGAGAGGTCCAGGCACTCCGGGTCTCGCCTGTACCGGGTAGACACTCAAGAACGGGCCGAGTCCGCCAGCAGACAGGGCCAGTCCGGTGCCAGGGCAACACAGAGCTCCCGCCAGGAGCAAGCACGGGACAGTTCCAGACACGGGGCCTCCCAGGACAGGCAGACGTCCACCGGCAGACACGTCGACTCCTCCCGTGGAAGGACCGGAACCAGCTCCGGCCGAACACAGGGATCCCGCCACGAGCAGGCCCGAGACAGCTCTGGGCACTCCGAGTCCGACGAGGGTGAGTTCACTGCTCAGGGGCACTCAGCATCCGGCAGTAGACGGGGACGACAGGGATCCCGCCAGGAGCAGGCACGGGACAGCACCGGGCACTCCGGGTCCCATCGCCGCCAGCAGGCCTCCCAGGGACGGTCCGGGTCTTCCCGCGGCCAGTCAGGATCCACCAGTGCAAGCAGACAAGCCCACGGCCACCAGCAGGCAGCGGACAGCACCAGGCACTCAGGCACAGGCTCCTCTCGCAGGCAGGCTGAATCTGCCCACGGGCACGCAAGAACAGGCCCCAGGGCAGGGCAGGAAACCCACCGCGAGCACTCAGCGGACAGCTCCCGGCGCCACGGCGCGGGGCAGGGGCAGTCCACCTCCCGGGGCGACAGACGCCGAGAACCCAGCCTCAGTCAGGCCAGCGACAGCGAAGGGCACTCAGAAGACTCGGCCAGGCAATCCCCATCGGCCCACGGAAGGTCCGGGTCCACGCCGAGGACCCAGCAGGGATCTACCCAGGGCCACGCACGAGACAGCTCCAGGGACACCGGGTCGCGTCAGGGACAGACTGCTAGACACACGCAGTCGGACACCGCTCACGGGCAGTCAGCCTCCAGCTCGAGGGGAGGACAGGGGAGCCGTCACCAGCAGGGGCCAGACAGCTCCAGGCACCCGCAAACCTCCTCTGAGGCCAGTGGCCGCGGACACAGCGAGGCCAGTGACAGCGAAGGCCAGTCGCAAGACTCAGAGAGTCAGTCCGACGTAGGCCACGGCCGGTCCGGGTCCCGACAGGGCCACCGCCAGGAATCCACCCCTGGCCGGTCCGGGGAGAGGTCCAGGCACTCCGGGTCTCGCCTGTACCGGGTAGACACTCAAGAACGGGCCGAGTCCGCCAGCAGACAGGGCCAGTCCGGTGCCAGGGCAACACAGAGCTCCCGCCAGGAGCAAGCACGGGACAGTTCCAGACACGGGGCCTCCCAGGACAGGCAGACGTCCACCGGCAGACACGTCGACTCCTCCCGTGGAAGGACCGGAACCAGCTCCGGCCGAACACAGGGATCCCGCCACGAGCAGGCCCGAGACAGCTCTGGGCACTCCGAGTCCGACGAGGGTGAGTTCACTGCTCAGGGGCACTCAGCATCCGGCAGTAGACGGGGACGACAGGGATCCCGCCAGGAGCAGGCACGGGACAGCACCGGGCACTCCGGGTCCCATCGCCGCCAGCAGGCCTCCCAGGGACGGTCCGGGTCTTCCCGCGGCCAGTCAGGATCCACCAGTGCAAGCAGACAAGCCCACGGCCACCAGCAGGCAGCGGACAGCACCAGGCACTCAGGCACAGGCTCCTCTCGCAGGCAGGCTGAATCTGCCCACGGGCACGCAAGAACAGGCCCCAGGGCAGGGCAGGAAACCCACCGCGAGCACTCAGCGGACAGCTCCCGGCGCCACGGCGCGGGGCAGGGGCAGTCCACCTCCCGGGGCGACAGACGCCGAGAACCCAGCCTCAGTCAGGCCAGCGACAGCGAAGGGCACTCAGAAGACTCGGCCAGGCAATCCCCATCGGCCCACGGAAGGTCCGGGTCCACGCCGAGGACCCAGCAGGGATCTACCCAGGGCCACGCACGAGACAGCTCCAGGGACACCGGGTCGCGTCAGGGACAGACTGCTAGACACACGCAGTCGGACACCGCTCACGGGCAGTCAGCCTCCAGCTCGAGGGGAGGACAGGGGAGCCGTCACCAGCAGGGGCCAGACAGCTCCAGGCACCCGCAAACCTCCTCTGAGGCCAGTGGCCGCGGACACAGCGAGGCCAGTGACAGCGAAGGCCAGTCGCAAGACTCAGAGAGTCAGTCCGACGTAGGCCACGGCCGGTCCGGGTCCCGACAGGGCCACCGCCAGGAATCCACCCCTGGCCGGTCCGGGGAGAGGTCCAGGCACTCCGGGTCTCGCCTGTACCGGGTAGACACTCAAGAACAGTCCGAGTCCGCCAGCAGACAGGGCCAGTCCGGTGCCAGGGCAACACAGAGCTCCCGCCAGGAGCAAGCACGGGACAGTTCCAGACACGGGGCCTCCCAGGACAGGCAGACGTCCACCGGCAGACACGTCGACTCCTCCCGTGGAAGGACCGGAACCAGCTCCGGCCGAACACAGGGATCCCGCCACGAGCAGGCCCGAGACAGCTCTGGGCACTCCGAGTCCGACGAGGGTGAGTTCACTGCTCAGGGGCACTCAGCATCTGGCAGTAGACGGGGACGACAGGGATCCCGCCAGGAGCAGGCACGGGACAGCACCGGGCACTCCGGGTCCCATCACCGCCAGCAGGCCTCCCAGGGACGGTCCGGGTCTTCCCGCGGCCAGTCAGGATCCACCAGTGCAAGCAGACAAGCCCACGGCCACCAGCAGGCAGCGGACAGCACCAGGCACTCAGGCACAGGCTCCTCTCGCAGGCAGGCTGAATCTGCCCACGGGCACGCAAGAACAGGCCCCAGGGCAGGGCAGGAAACCCACCGCGAGCACTCAGCGGACAGCTCCCGGCGCCAAGGCGCGGGGCAGGGGCAGTCCACCTCCCGGGGCGACAGACGCCGAGAACCCAGCCTCAGTCAGGCCAGCGACAGCGAAGGGCAGTCAGAAGACTCGGCCAGGCAATCCCCATCCGCCCATGGAAGGTATGTTTCATCACATGAGTCTGTACCCATCCATTCCACTGATAGCCCCAGAGAGTCTCTTTATTATCAAGGAGTGATGAAGGATGAGCAGTTGTCTGATTGTTCTCCTGAAATATCAGAATATGATACAGGAAATCAAGGTGATCATTTTCCCATTCATCCTGAATCAGATCATAGTTCAGGAGTTGAATCTTGTGGTGATCATCACAGTTCTGAAGTTAATTATTTTCCCTCATTCATCAGTGAAAGTTGTCACTATGGATCAGGTATAGGTTGGAGGCATGGCAGTTATGGTAGTGGTGCATATGAATATGGTCAGTCAGGATTTGGCAAATCTCAAGCTAGATTCATTAGTGAAAAATGCAGTCCTGTGGAATTAACAAAGAGGTATGAAAATAGAAAATCACCTGGATATGGAATACAATATATGAGATCCAGTATATTAGGCAGTAATAGAGAGCCAGAAATGCATAACTGTTCAAGTGATATATCAAGACAGCTGGGGTTCATTCAGTCCCCAGGATACTATTATTATGAATGAGAAATCAGTAAGCAATCACTTTAAATAGAATTAAACCAAGTAGTAGGAGCAAGAACCTATTAACACTTTGTTCTAGGAAGTTTACCTATTACTTTCGTAGATGTTTCTTATCTATTTGAAATATGCTATACTCTTTCATTACTTTGGTGATAGTTTCTTTTTATTCTCTAGACCTTTTAAACCTTATATTTAGAAAATATTAAGGAAATTAATATCATTCAAATCTAAATTTGCAAAACTATTAAGAATGTGTAGTTGAAATAAGGATTCTTTTTTTCAAAACTTTAAATGTTAGATCCTCTCTCAATTAATATATGAATTTTTCTGAAAAGTATCTAAGGAAGTAAATATGCTAAATCATTCTTTTGGAGGCTAGAGCTACTATATCACACCATGGCTCAGCACATCTTCCCATATTATTCTTCTACTGGAAGTCTGTTTTCTTAGCATTCAAAAAAATCACATTGGATTAAAAATTGTGCAAGGTATAAAACTCAATAAAAGTTGATCTTATTACCTAGCTTGTCTCTTTTATGCTTTTTTTCCTCAAGTGCAAAAAGGGTTTTCTTTTCCATGTGTAGGATTTAATCTCTTTTGTATACCATAGGAAATCTGAACATATAGCAACATATACTATGCAAAAGTGGTAAATAAGAAGGAATTTAATAAAATCATATGTGTTCCCCAATATAATCATTGTCCCACATTATCACCTTTTCAAAGTTAAAACACTTTGTTGAATCATAAATATTTCTACCATTAATATGAAATCACTAATCCAAGTGTTTAACAGCCACATCAAAGCAAGAATTATTGACTGTGGGTCCTTCTGCCAAAGATGCTGGCAAATGCTTTCAAGGGAGTCTAATGAAAGTAAAGAACTTAGCTGAAGTGTCTTAACACAAAAGCAATTTAAAAAATGCCTCTGGGCTTGGGCAATAGCTCAGTGGTAGAGCATCTGCCTCGCTCGTGTGAGGCACTAGGTTCAATCCTCAGCACCACATAGAAATAAATAAAGATATTTTGTCCATCTACAACTAAAAAATATTTTTAAATAAATAAGTAAAAAGAAAGAAAATGCCTTCCTTTCCTGAAAGGACAACAGATGAACTTTTATGATTTAGGCAATTAGAAAAAGAAAGGGCAGGGAGGAAAAAATAGTACAAATGTCAACAATTTTCTTCTACTAGAAGGAAAATCCTTCTGTGAGACCCCTACCAATGTTTACTTCCCATAATATCCAACTGGTGGTGGTATGTAGGCCAGTGTTCTCATTTTGCCGATGAGTCTATCACACAAATAACGCACACCAAAATATTAATTAGATTTCAAATCTTCAAGTTCAAGATTGACAATTTTATAATAGAATTTATAAAAGTTTCCTTTCTTGAACTTTTATTTTAATAAATTAAACTGAATTAAAATTGTCAGTATTTAAATGATCTCAAAAGGGGACAGGGACTGAATGAAAAAGGAACAGGCTCATTTTTAAATTAGCCTCAAATAATAAAATGTCTATGTTTGCTCCCCACAAGCCACTTAAAGGTAGTACTTCTCTCCTACCAGTGTTTCCATGCTTGAAGTACAAACCCCATGTATCCTTACAAAGCAACAAATTTCATGAAGTACCCGACCTGCAGGCCTCCCAGAGCTTTAACAGACACGGGTGCCCTAGTCTCAGTTTATTCAGCTCTCTCCTGTAGCCCCACTCTAGAGTCTGGCCTAACTGACTGAAAAATACAAAAACTGTACTGAGGAAACAGTGCAGACCTGGCCCTCCTAAACTTGGGAGATATTTATGGACACTAACAGGCATTACAAGAGAGACAGATATGTGTCCCCTATGAGAGCAAAACTTCTCCATGATGAAAACATATACAACTGAAATTGTCTTCTTTCACATCCCCCTACCCACTAAGGACAGACTTACTTGAAATTCCCTTTTGTTATCTGACAGAAAATCAGTTTACCCAATAAATTGAAACAAGATTCACTGGAAACATGAATTTTCTCTGTTCTCTTCCCTTATAAAATTTCTTTTTGTCTTTATTCTTTACTCAGTTGACCAACTCTCTCAGTAAATTATGAATTTCCATGCAATATAACTAAATAAGTTTTTCTTTCACTGAAATAATCTCAAGGGACCAATTATGTCTTACGTCTCTCTTTTCTCTACACAAATATTTTCTCAATGCACATCAATCCGTGACAACCTTATCCACTGGGTAAAGTCACTCACAGCAGAAGAACTGGAAGAAGACAAAGACCAGCACAAACTTAACACTCATAATCAGTTGTTGACTGCTCATTTGCAGTGTCCTGTGAGAGGGTTCCTATAAGTGCAGTCCACAGAAAACTGCACTGCTGGTCTGCAAACCTTATTAGTGGTACACAGCAAGATAAGCACAAAATCAAGGATAAGGATTTAGAAATATTTTATAACAATTTGGCATTGGCACATTTGAGGGTGTGACCATTTTTAAAATTTTATGAAGTATCAATTAGAATATTAACCCTGATCTTTCACCACAGATAGTATAACACTGTTCTATGGTTCTCACTACAAATGGTTGAGTCTGTATTCTATCTAATAGACAAGCTACTGAAGACTTATGAACAAAGGAACACTCTAATCAAATGTATACATTAAGGATCTGGGATGGTCTAGAAAAGATAAAAGATAGGGAGGTCTGCCTGTAACAAGGCAATGGTCCAAGGTAAAGATAAAATGACTCTGAATCGAGTCAGTGGTAGTATGATGTTTGAAAAATGAGGTCAACTAAATTTGATCATTAATTGAATCTGGAGAGTAAAAAAGAGAAAAGCATTGAGGATTTTTCTAGATGCTTATATCTATATTTCAAAAAGGAGAATGTGAGTCTTCAGCATATGTGTAGCTTACTGAACTGGTTGAAAGTATGGGCTTTGAACTTAGATGCTATCTAGGCAAAATCTCAACCCTAGCAATTAACTGTGTGGATCTTGGAAAACTTACTGCAGATTTCTATTTCTTGGTTTCCTCTTCTGAAAAATTCCATGTAATAACAGTACCTACCTTGGCATCATTACAAAGATTGAGTTGATACATGAAAAGCACTTAATACGGGGTCTGGCACATGTTAAACACTCAATAAATGTTTGCCAATATGGATGAAGCTATAGGCATGACTGAAATGAGAAAGTAAAGAGTGAGAGCCAAAGATAGAATATTGAGAAAAATCCACCAAAGTTCTTCCCACAGTCAAATAACAAATATGTGATAGAAAGAAGATTTTCAGCCTGGTTCTGACTTCCAATCCCATGCTCTCATCACTAAAAAGGAGTGTTTTCAAAGTTTAAGTATGCCAAGAATAGTCAAGTAAAGTCAGAAATGAAATATGGTCTTAGCACAAAGGTGCATGCCTATAATCCCAGAGGCTCGAGAGGCTGAGGCAGGAGGATCACGAGTTCAAGCCAACCTCATCAAAAGCAAGAAATTTAAGCAACTTTGTGGGAATCTGTCCCTAAATAAAATGCAAAATAGGGCTGAGAATATGGTTCAGTAGTCAAGTGTCCCAGAGTTCAATCCCTAGTACCCCAAAAAGAAATATGGTCTTTAATATCTTGACATTTGTGATCCTGGAAAGAGCCATTTCTGTGGAGAGAGAGTTATATAAACAAACTGTTAGAAAACTTAAGGGTAACTGATTTTTGAGAAATTGGACACAATAAATACAGATTATTTCTGTGAGGAAGCCAAAAACTGCTTTCTAACCAAATCCTTTAGTTTTCTCCATTTCTAGCATCCTTGGTTGTGGGGATTCTGGAGGTAACAGTCTGCAGGAGATAACTTCTGAAAATTAAGTAGAGAAGGGGGCATGTAAGAAGCCACAGTAAAGACGCTTAATTTTTGCCTCCCTCACTTTATTAAGGAATAATTGACAAACAAAAATTGTGTGTTTAGATATATATATACATTGTGAAATGATTGCCACAATCTAGCTAATTAACATATCCATTACCTTTCATAGTTAACTTCTGTGGGTGTGTATATGGTGAGACTACAAGATCTACTTTCTTAGCAAATTTCAATATATAATTATTAGCTACAGTCAACAGATTGTATGTATATTAAGTCTCCAATAATTATTCATCTTGAAAATTAAGGTTTGTACCTTTTCTCAATATTTCTCCTTTTCTCCCATGCCTTTAGTCCCTGAAACCACCATTCTACTCTCTGCTTCTATGAGTTTGACTTTATATTGAACTTCAAAATTCTCAAAGTGAAAGTTTGTTTTAATCTAAGCTGGGATTTTCCTTTTGATTCCCCGGCACATTTGATTCCAGAAAAATGAAACAGTTTCTAAATAATGTGTAAAAGTATAAATATAATAGTGCTCCCTTCCAGAGCACATATAATAAAATTAGAATGATATAGAGAATATTATCATGGCCCCTGTGCAAGGATGACACGCAAATTCATGAAGAGTTCCATAAGTTTAAGGAAAAACTAATCAAAGGAGAAACCAAATCAAGTTAAATACCAAAAATAAACAACAATGGCTGGGAATACAAATAATGTCTCAATAATAACCCTGAATGTTAAACTAAACAATCAATCAATGTTAAACGAAACAATGCCTAAACTCAACAATCAAAAGACATAGACTGGCAGATTGGATTAAAAAAAAAAAAGACCCAACAATATGCTGCCTCCAAGAGACTCATCTCATAGAAAAAGATATCCACATACTGAAGGTGAAAGGTTGGGAAAAATCACACCGCTCACATGAACTATGGAAGCAAGCAGGGGTATCCATCCCCGTATCAAATAAAGTAGACTTCAAGCCAAAGTCAATCAAAAGGGATAAAGAAAGATATTTCATACTGCTTAAGGGAACCATTCATCAGCAAGACATAACAAATATAAATATATATGCCCCAACCAATGGAGCATCTACATCCATCAAACAAACTCTTCTCAAGATCAAGAGTCAAATACACCATAACACAATAATTCTGGGTGACTTTACCACACCTCTTTCACTACTGGAAATGTCGTCCAAAAAAAAGTTGAACAAAGAAACTACAGAATTCAATAATACAATTAATAACTTAGACTTAACTGACATATACAGAATATTTCATCCATTAATGAATGAATACACTTTCTTTTCAGCAGCAGATGGATCCTTCTCTAAAATTGACCATACATTATGCCACAAAGCAATTCTTAGCAAATATAAAAAAGTAGAGATACCACCCTGCATTCTATCAGATCATAATGGAACGAAATTAGAAATCAATGATAAAATAAAAAATAAAAGCTACTCCAACACCTGATGACTAAATAATATACCACTAGTTGCAAAAGACATCAAGGAGCAGATTAAAAAATTCTGAGAGGTGAATGAGAACACAGATACAATGCATCAAAATCTCTAGAACATTACGAAGGCAGTACTAAGAGGAAAGTTCATTGCATGGAGTTCATTCCTTAAAAGAAGAAAAAGTCAACAAATAAATGACTTAACATTACATCTCAAAGCCCTAGAAAAAGAAAGAACAAATCTACACCAAAAGCAGCAGAAGACAGGAAATAATTAAAATCAGTGCTGAAATCAATGAAATTGAAACAAAAGAAACAACTGAAAAAATTGACAAAACAAAAAGTTGGTTCTTTGAAAAAATAAATAAAATTGGCAAACCCTTAGCCATGCTAATGAAGAGAGGAAACTCAAATCACTAACATACATGATGAAAAAGGAACTATCACAACAGACACTACAGAAATACAGAGGATAATTAGAAATTATTTTGAAAACCTGTACTCCAATAAAATAGAAAGTATCGAAGGCATGGACAAATTTCTAACGTCATATAATTTACCCAAGTTGAATCAGGATTTAAACAGATCAATTTCAAGCAATGAAATAGAAGACGCCATCAGAAGCCTACCAACCAAGAAAACTCCAGGTCTGAATGGAACACAGCTGATTTCTACAAGACCTTTGAGGAAGAATTAATACCAATATTCTTCAATTTATTTCAAGAAATAGAAAAAGGGGCAACACTTCCAAACTCATTCTATGAGGCCAATATCACTCTGATTCCCAAACCAGGCAAAAACACATCAGAAAAAAAGAAAAAGAAACTTCAGACCAATACCTCTAATGAACATAGATGCAAAAATTCTCAATAAAATTCTGGCAAATCAAATACAAAAACATATCAAAAAGATCATGCACCACGATCAACTGGGATTCATCCCAGGGATGCAAAGTTGGTTCAACATACAGAAATTGATAAATGTAATTCATCACATCAATAGACTTAAAGATAAGAACCCTATGATCATCTCAATAGAAGCAGAAGAAATCATTTGACAAAATATAGCACCCCTTTATGTTCAAAACACTAGAAAAACTTGGGATAACAGGAACATATCTCAACATTGTAAAAGCTATCTATGCTAAGCCCCAGCCCAACATCATTATAAATAGAGAAGAATTGAAAGCATTCCCTCTAAAAACTGGAACAAGACAGGGATAGATGCCCTTTTTTCATGACTTCTATGTAACATAGTTCTTGAAACTATAGCCAGAGCAATTAGACAGACAAAAGAAATTAAAGGGATATGGGTACGAAAAGAAGAACTCAAATTAGCACTATTTGCCAACGATATCATTTTATATTTGGAAGACCCCAAAAATTCCTCAGAAAACTTCTAAAACTAAGTAAATGAATTCAGTAAAGTAGCAGGATACAAAATCAATACCCATGCATCAAAGGCATTTCTGTATATCAGTGACAAGTCCTCTGAAAGAGAAACTAGGAAAACTACCCCATATACAGTGGCATCAAAAAAATAAAATAAAATTCTTGAGAATCAATCTAACGAAAGAGGTGAAAGACCTCTACAATGAAAACCACAGAATGCTAAAGAAATTAAAGATGACCTTAGAAGATGGAAAGATCTCCCTTCTTCTTGGATAGGTAGAATTAATATTGTCATAATGACCAAGCTACCAAGAGCATTATACAGGTTTAACGCATTCCAATCAAAATCCCAATGACATTCCTCATAGAAATAGAAAAAGCAATCATAAAATTCATCTGGAAAAAATAAGAGACACACAATAGCTAAAGTAATCCTTAGCAGGAAGAGTGAAGCAGGTGGTATCACTATACCAGACCTTAAACTATACTACAGAACAGTAACAAAAACAGCATGGTAATAGCACCAAAACAGACTGGAAGACCAATGGTACAGAATAGAGGATACAGAGACTAACCCACAAAACTACAGTTATCTTGTATTAGATAAAGGTGCCAAAAACATGAATTGGAGAAAAGCTAGCCTCTTCAACAAATGGTGCTGGGAAAACTGGAAATTCATATGCAACAAAATGAAATTAAACTCCTATCTCTCACCATGCACAAAACTCAACTCGAAGTGGATCAAGGACCTAGGAATTAAACCAGAGACCTGCATCTAATAAAAGAAAAAGTAGGCCAAAATCTCCATCATATTGGGCCTCATCATATTGAATTAGGCCCCTACTTCCTTAATAAGACTCTTATAGCATAAAAATTAAAATCAAGAATTAATAAATGGGATAGATTCAAACCAAAAAAAGCTTCTTCTCAGCAAAAGAAACAGTGAGGTAAACAGAGACCCTACAGCTTGGGAGCAAATTTTTAATACTTGTATATCAGACAGAGCACTAATCTCTAGGGTATATAAAGAACTTAAAAAGCTAGACATCAAAAAAAAAAAAAACAAATAACCCAATTAATAAATGGGCCAAGGACCTGAACAGACAATTCTCAGAAGAATATATACAATCAATCAACAAATATATGAAAAAAAAAAGTTCAACATCTCTAGCAATTAGAGAAATGCAAATCAAAACTCCTCTAAGATTTCATCTCACTCCAGTCAGAATGGCAACTATTATGAAGACAAACAATAAGTGTTGGTGAGGATGTGGGGAAAAAAGCACACTCATACACTGCTGGTGAGACTGTAAAATGCTGCAGTCAATATGGAAAGCACTATGGAGATTCCTTGGGAAATTGGGAATGGAACCACCTTTGGACCTAGCTACCCCACTCCTCGGTCTATACCCAAAGGACTTAAAAACAGCATACTATAGGGACTGGGGATACCAACCTTGCCCATGATAGAGTCACACTCCCTGGCTAGGTGCTGAGGCTCTCAGTCACAGAAATGTGGAAGAGCTTTCCCCACCCTTCTTGGTTCAAGCGTCAGTGTTTAGTGCATAGGTGTGTCTTGCTACAGCCCCATGAGTGGAACTTCGCTCACCTGTTCCTTTGTAATATACCCCTTGCCCTGTTTAGGATGGAGTCTTCCAGGAAGTGCCTTGTATGTGTCCCCTTCTCTTACTGTACCCTTGGGTGTGGCCTACCCAGGTGTCAGTCAACCTGCTGACAGTGGACATAATGAAGATAGACTCAGCCCCCTGAAACCTGACCCCTTCCCTCATTTGAATAGCTTCTCCTCAATAAAAGGGGTCAGTATGTGCTATCACTCTCTCTCTTCCTGCAGACCCTTAAGGTCAGAGGAGCCGTCACAGCGACCCCAAAGAAAAAGGAATTGTGTCTCTTATGTGATTATTTTGTGCAGCCCAATTAGCCCAATTTAACTGGAGTGACCCCTGAGCCTTTTAGTCACGAACAGAAACCCTGCAGGACACAGCCCCATCAATGTTTAAAGCTGCACAAATCACAATAAATAAACTGTGGAACCAACCTAGATGCCCTTCAGTAGATGAATGGATAAAGAAATTGTGGTATATATACACAACAGAATATTATTACTCAGCAATAAAATAAAATCATGGCATTTGCAAGTAAATGGATGGAGTTGGATAATATAATTCCAAGTGAAGTTAGCCAATCCCCCAAAACCAAATGCCGAATGTTTTCTCTGATATAAGGAGGCTGATTCATAGTGGGGTTGGGAGGGGGAGCATAGGAGGATTAGATGAACTTTAGATGAGTAAAGGGGTGAGAGTAGAAGGGAGGGGGCATGGGGGTAAGAAAGACGGTCGAATGAGATGGTCATCATTACCCTAAGTATATGTATGAAGACACAAATGGTGTGAATGTACTTTGTATACAACAAGAGATATGAAAAATTGTGCTCTATATGTGTAATATGAATTGTAATGCATTCTGCTATCATATAAAACAAATTAGAATTTTAAAAAAGTATAAAAACATTAATCATTGCCTAATAGGGCAATTTCAGGGTCTAAATAAGGGGCATGTTGCCTCAAAAGTCACATGATCAAGGTGACAACTTACTGTAAAGATGTTCAAGGGAATAGGAGACATGAGGAAAAAAATAAATCATAGTCATATCCTACACTATTACTAAAGTAACTCAGATATTGTCAATAAGACTGTGGTTTATAATTTAACAAATAATGTGCATTTTTAGTTTCACATGAAAATGAGCAAAATAGTCCCTAGCTTTTTGCTAAACCATATTGCCATCAGTTATCATTTCTCTTCCCTTTCAGAAAGCAGTGATAACTGATGGCAATGTGAATTCGTGATTGTTCTACTCTTCTCAGCATCTTTCCCAACCTAGTATGTGAGGAAAGGATGGCCAAGACATAGCAGTAGATGACTGAACTCTAGCTATGTGTCCAGACTGTTTCCATATATCTCATTCAAAGAGAAAGATGAAAATAAGGATTAGAATAATCAGCATTTAGATAATGTGTTTGTTGCTTCATCCTAGATACAGCATTGCTATATTCTTTCATTAGAAGGAAAGTATTAACGATCTAATTGTCAGACTCTCTATTAGATGTTGAAATTACAATGATGGGGAGACAGATCTGCCCTTCAGGGGCTCACTGACTACAGAGGAAAGACACAACCATATGGCAAATACATTTTTATTTTAAAAAAAGGATAATAAGGTGCAATGATATTATATTGCCGCAGTCTGGCTGGACACAAATCACGAGCCACTCAAGCAGAAACAAACTTTATTCCGAACTCCCACAGCATTCCATGCACACTCCCCGGGAACTCTCCCAAATGCCACCCACGCGGCTCCTCCAGGAACACACCACACACCAACTGGAACTCACTCCCCCAGGCTACGCGCGCACTCACTCTCGGAACCCCATGAGAACTCAACAGGAACTCCAAAGTAGTGGGCGCCTGAGGCAGCAAGAGCCATCCTATTACCGGACAGTAAAGGTCTAATATACAATTGAATTTTATACAACCTGTTTCAATCCAACATCACCTTAATGGCTCGCCTCTCAACCATACTTCTGGTAAAATGCAAGGGGCCATTCCGACTCGGCTGTGGCTCTCAGCATCTCCCCCATTCTGTTTAATTAAACACCAAGCAAGTGGCTTAGGGACCGTGCCTGTTTTAGGTTGTCCAATACTACATATGGTCCTTACCCGTTATCGGATGAGCTGACCTCAAGGCGTCAGCCTCCTATCTTAGGTTGGTACCATTGCAATTGGATCTTACCCGTCATTGACTACCGGTCCAGCATACAGCCATACTTGTGGATAGGCCTTTGCACCAGTGGGGGGGTGAGGTTCTTTGCCTCACCTCTATTGGCCCCCAAATTTGGCCTTGGTGCCAGTGGGGGGTGAGGTTCTTTGCCTCATCTCTGTTGGCCCCCAAATTTGGCCTTGGTGCCAGTGGGGGGGGTGAGGTTCTTTGCCTCAACTCTGTTGGCCCCCAAATTTGGCCTTGGTGCCAGTGGGGGGGTGAGGTTCTTTGCCTCATCTCTATTGGCCCCCAAATACCAGTGGGGGGGTGAGGTTCTTTGCTTCACCTCTGTTGGCCCCCAAATTTGGCCTTGGTGCCAGTGGGGGGGGGGGGATACAAAATGCCACGACACCAAGCCAAATGACGGCTCTTTTTGGAAAAATTGTACCACTGATGACACCATCAGCAAAGATACCCCAGCACTACCACAATTCGCTGCACCAACAGATAGTTCACAATGCATACAAGTGATACATAGTCCAGGCAAGTTCTGCAAGCAGTTCAAAGCAGAGGAATCCAGCAATGTGTCCATTTCCTCCCAAATAGACTCCTTGATTGAGCATCACTTGTTGAGTTATTATTCATTGATGCATCAGTTTCTACAGTTTACTGTGACAGCTATCGAAGAAGCTGTAGTTTGGTTTTATCTTTGTCTTCACTGGCACTGGGATTAAGATAGGAATTCTGGCAATGATGGCTAAAAAGAAATTATGTAACATTCCAGCAGGCACTAAGAAAACAATTTTCTGAACAATTTACATCATCCTGAACAGAATTATTAGATATAATGAAAAGGAAAGATGAAAGTAAACAAACAGATCTGTTAACTACCTTTAAAAACAATCCTCAACAGCTGTTTACCTAATTTAAATTAAACCATTTATATCACGTGAATAAAAAAAAATATTTGGATCCATTTTTTCATGAGCACTCCTCATATATGATATATGACATACGCACATACAGACATACAACACAAAACAGAAGTGTGCACACAGAACATACAACACATGAGACAATAGTAAAGGCTTTGTAGCTTTACACAGGTGAAATCTCCATTGCAATGTTTAAAAACTCCACAGTCAAAAAATAGAACTGATCAGCAAAACATTAACCTAGGTCTGTATGAGCTCAAAAAATAAAATAGAACTTTATGATGTGGGAAAAGGCAATAATAAAATAGATATTGAAAAAAGCATCCTGGTTACCACCTGGGTTTGACTCTTTTTTTGATATCCCATCCTTCTTCCTGTAACTTGCATATAGGTCTGAAGGTATTCCCACAAGCAAGCCTCAAGGTTTTTTACATTTGAAATAGGACTTAATGGTGATCATTATTCATTAGCCTCCAGGTGTGGGAGAGTCACTGTCACAGATGTAAGAATAGCCAAGCTGGAGCTCTGGATATCAGCTGTTATGGATTTGAGCAATATCACCTTCTTTTTGGTCTGTAGAAATCACTTTGGTTAATCTCTCTGGAATCCAAATCGGCTGCTGTTCTCCCTGTGGAAACACACAAACAGAACCCCGACTCCAGACAATCACTGGGTCAGGACCTTTCCATTGTCCTGTTAGAATATCCTTCCAAAGTACCTTAGGCTTATGTACATTTTTTGGACACATATGCCTTTCCATAGCACTAAGCCCTGATGAATCCAAATTTTAAAAGTTTAGAGTAAAAAGGGTTATTTTAAGTTTATCTTTGGGGGATATATACCCCTTTCCAATTCCCTCTTTTTGCTTTAATAAGTACATTTTAATAGTTTGATGAGCTCTTTCAACTATGCCTTGTCCCTGAGGATTGTATGGAATTCCTGTTATATGAGTAATGCCAAATGATGAGCAAAATTTTTTAAAAGAGGTAGAGGTATAGCCAGGGTCATTATCTGTTTTTAACTGTTTTGGAACGCCCACAGTGGCAAAATTTTGTAAGCAATGAGCTATAATATCTTTAGTTTTTTCTCCGGCATGAAGGGAGTCCGTCAAAAATCCGGAATTAGTATCAACTGTAACATGCAAATATTTTAATTTTCCAAATTCTGGCAAGTGTGTGACGTCCATCTGCCAAATATGGTTAGGTATCAGTCCTCTAGGATTGACTCCAAGATTAACTTGTGGTAAAAAGGTCACACAATTTTGACATTGTTTTATTATATGTCTGGCTTGTTCCTTAGTTATTTTAAAACGCTTTTGTAAAGTATTAGCATTGACATGGAACCTTTTATGAAAATTTATAGCTTCTTCTATTGTGGAGAAAATATGTATGTCATGTGTAGATTTATCTGCTAAATCATTGCCCAAACTAAGGGCTCCAGGCAATCCTGTATGTGCTCTGATATGTCCTATAAAGAATGGATCTTTTCTGTCCCAGATTAGACTTTGTATAGTGGAAAACAAAGAGAAAACAGTAGAGGAAGGAGAAATCCTACCAGCATCTTCAAGGAATACTACAGCATTAACTATATACTGACTATCAGAAAATAAATTAAATAGAGAATCTTTAAACATCACAAAAGGTTGTAATACTGCATTAAGCTCTACCTTTTGAGCTGATTGTTTGGGTACTAAAAATGTAAAAGTTTGATCAGGGTAACTACTGCTCATATACCATTATTTGACCCATCAGTGAATATATTTGGAGCATTCATGATAGGTGTTTTTCTTGTCATTTTTGGAAAAACTACAGGATGCGAAGACCAAAAAGACAATTATGGATTAGATGGTAAGTGATTATCAAATGAAACATTAGATTTACACATGATTATTGCCCAAGTATTTAACTCATTAGCTAACTCAGCAATTTGATCCATAGTATATGGAGTAATAATTTTATTGGGAGAAATTCTAAACACTCCCTTTGTATTAATTGTATTAATATTATTTGGAGATAATTTGGAGAAATTCTAAACACTCCCTTTGTATTAATAGTATTAATTGTCCTACAGCCTCAGGATACCTTGTAAGAATAGTGTTAGGAGAATAAGATAAATGTATCCATAATAATGGACCTTCTTGACAAAATACTCCTGTAGGAATATTTTTGTTGGTATTACAATAAATAATAAACACAACTTATAACAATTCTATCCAAATGCATATTTTGCATATATGTTTCAATGATTTTTAATGCCTTTCTTACTTCAAGAGTTAACATGCGGGGTGAATTTGGACCTGATGGACCTTTTAGGATATCAAATAAAGGTCCCAACTCTCCTGTTGGTATGCCTAGATAAGGCCTTATCCAATTTATGTCTCCTAATAACTTTTGAAAGTCGTTAAGTGATTTGAGTTGATCTACTCGTATTTGAATTTTTGGTGGACGGACCATGGTTGAGGATAATAGAACTCCTAAATAATTAATTGGAAGATTTAATTGTATTTTATCTATTGCTATCTCTAGATTATAATTTTTAATGTTTGTAAGTGTGGCATAACATTCTAGCAATGTGTTTTTATCTTTGTGTGCTAACAATACATCATCCATACAGTGAAATATTTGTAGTTGAGGATTTTGATTTCTAAATGGCTGGATTGCTTTGTTAACATAAATTTGACACATAGTTGGGCTATTAGCCATCCCTTGAGAGAGTACTTTCCATTCATATCTCTGATCAGGACCTTCATGATTCAGTGCAGGGATAGTAAACGCAAAATGTGGACTATCCTCAGGATGAATTGGAATTGAAAAAAAAAAAAAACAATCTTTAATATCTATAGCTAAAACATACCAGGTTTTTGGCAAAGCAGACAATTGGGGAATCCTCAATTGAGCAGGTCCCACAATAATCATCTCATTATTAATGGCTCTTAAATCTTGCAATTATCTCCATTTACCAGATTTCTTTTTAATGACAAAAAAGGAAATATTATGGGGAGATATGGAAGGTTGTATACGTCCCTCCGCTAACTGTTGCTTGACCAGGTCATGGGCTACTTGTATCTTTTCTTTAGTCAGGGGCCACTGAGGAACCCATACTGGTCTATCTGATTTCCAAGTAATTTTTATTGTCTCAGTGACCCCTTCTGAAAACCCAATCCATGTCTATTTATTCCTTGATCTTTTGAATTGGTGCTGCTATACCTTGTTCTTGTTCTCCTAATCCTTTCTTTCCTAAAACCTTGTCTAGCCCTAATAGTGGGTGCATTTGGATTGATGTTATTTGTTAATGTCAAACCTAATTGATCTAGGACATCTCGTCCCCATAAATTTATAGGAAGGTGATCCAATATATATGGCTGTATAGTTCCTTCACAACCTTCAGGATCCTTCCAATCTAATACCATTGCACTTCTATGGGGATTAGTTGCCACTCCTAGGCCTCGAAGCATTTGAGTGGACTGTTGTAATGGCCAATGTTTCAGCCATTCTTGACAAGAGATGACGCTAAGGTCTGCACCAGTGTCCAGTAGCCCATTAAATTCATATCCTTGAATATTTAGTTTTAGCATTGGGCGAGAATCTAAATGTAAAGACAGCATAGCCCAATCTACACCTGTGGAGCCTAATCCCCTGGAACGTCTTTCTATAGTACTACTGGAAAATTTATCATGCAGGCTGGGTATTATTAATAACTGTGCTATTCTATCTCCTGGTGAAATTACTGACATACCCCTTGGAGAACTGGCTATAATTTTTATTTCACTTTCATAATCGGGATCAATTACCCCAGGACTAATCATAAGTCCTTTGAGAGTAGAAGAACTGCATCCTAACAATAAGCCTACTATTCCTTTGGGAAAAGGTCCTTTTACTCCTGTGGGAATCATATGAACTCCCATCTCTGGAGTTAGTATTGCTCTAGCGGAGGCGCAGATGTCCAACCCTGCGCTCCCTCTGGTTCGTCTGATGAGAGATCTGATGGATAATGTGTTCTGGGCACTACCCTGATGGTGTTGCTAGGTTCCTCCATGGTGTTGCTGGGTTCCACCAGTGCCACGTATATTTGTGGTCGTGGGCCCCGGAGCATTGGGCCCCCTTGTCCGTTTTTTGGCATTGGAGCCTGATGCCTTTCTCCACAATATCGTGGGTAAATACCTGGTCCTTGTCCGTTTTTTGATAATGGAGTACCCTCTGTGGTGGTTTGGGAATGGCATTCATTAGCCCATTGTGTCCCTCTATGGCATCGTGGGCAAATACCTGGTATGCTACCCCTTTGATACCTAGCTTTGTTAAACCCTCCTCCTATGGGGCAACTCCTTTTAAAATGTCCTGTTTGTTCACAATTGTAGCATGTTTTCGGCCTGGCATCTAAAGCCCGTTGTATTGAAGCTGCCAAGACTTGCCCTTGTTCATTAATGTCTCTACATAATTTAATATATGTGTTTAAATCTTCATGTTTCCATGGTCTAATGACCTCCCTGCACCCTTTGTTTGCTTGGTCATAGGCTAGCTGTTTAATTAATGGCATTGCTTGCTCTGTAACCCCAAAAACTCTGGTAGCTATTTGAATAAGCCTATCTACAAATTCAGCGTAAGGTTCATTAGCTCCTTGTATTACCTTAGATAATTGACCTTGTAAATCTCCATGTCCTTGTAAAGTCTTCCATTCCCTAAATGCATCTGCAGCAATTTGCGAGTATATGGCAGGATCATATGCAATTTGTTGCAGCTGACCCTCATAAGGTCCTTTTCCTAACAACATATCTAGATTTCTCTGAGGATAACCGGCTGCTGCATATCGCCTAGCCGTCTCCATGCAAAATTACTCATTGGCAACCTTCCATAACAAATATTGCCCTCCATTTAGCACAGCTTTACACATACTAGCCCAATCTGCTGGCGTCATGTCCAAGTTGGTAATGGATTCGACCATGCTTACAGTGAAGGGTGCTTGGGGACCATAGGTTGTTACAGCCTCCTTTAACTGCTTCACTGTTTTGAAATCTAAAGCATGGTGAATTCGCTGCCCTCCTGCCTGCTCAAGTACAGGGCATGCCAATCTTTGAGGTCCTGTCTTAGGATCCCATCTATCAACTATGGGGGTTGGAGGCCCCATGGGTGGAGCTGTTGGTTGGACACTTACGCCCTCTGGTGATAGAAAGGTGTTAGTAGCAGCCTCCTGTTGTAACTTCTTTCCTGATCGAAAAAATTTAAATTTTTCTTTAAATTTTCTTCCTCTGATTAGCTCAAGAGACCTTCTCTTTTGCTTGATCTAAAATGTCTTCTACCATAATCTGAATCTCTAACAATTTACTTAACACTCTTTCAGTTTGTTTTTTACTAATTTCTGATCTACTATAACACAAAACAAAACCGAAACAGAATGGAACAAAAAATCGTTGTATCAATTTTCCTATTTTCTTGGCATGTGCATTTGTGGTCTATTTCTATCTCTTCCTCAGGGGCGAACAACTTCAAACCTTGAGCCAACCATTTTTCCCAGTTTGCCTGAGAAGGTTCTAGGGATAGGCAGCTTGAAACAAAAACAAAACAAATCAAAACAAGAACACATTGTTTTTTGAAATGGTCACCCATTCTCTCGCCTTCCCTCAGGGGCGAGCAATTTCACTTACCTCTGAGCTTCAGGCATTCCCCCCACGGGCCACCAAATGCTGCAGTCTGGCTGGGCACAAATCATGAGCCACTGAAGAAGGAACAAACTTTATTTCCGAACTCCCACAGCATTCCACGCACACTCCCTGGGAACTCTCCCAAACGCCACCCACGCAGCTCCTCCAGGAACACACCACACACCAACCGGAACTCCCTCCCCCCGGGCTGCACGCGCACTCACTCTCGGAACCACACAAGAACTCAATAGTAACTCCAAAGTAGCGGGCACCCGAGGCAGCAAGAGCCATCCTATTACCGGACAGTAAAGGTCTAACATACAATTGAATACACAACCTGTTTCAATCCAACATCATCTTAATGGCTCACCTCTCAACCATACTTCTGATAAAATGCCAGGGGCCATTCTGACTCAGCTGTGGCTCTCAGCAGTATATAGTGCAACCACCTGACCTCGTTTAAAGGTGAGGAAGAAATGGCTCCAATAAACCTGAATTTAGGAGGCATGTAGACTGAATTTTTATGAATGGCTGGGAATGTGCCAGGTAAACTTGGAAAGAAGAGTGTCCCAAGAGAGATTAAATATCTTATATAAAATCCCACAGATAAGAAAAACGAATGTGGGCTTAAGAAACTAATAGTAGTTCAGCATAGCCAAGATATATAATGAATGTAAGTGACATGGCATGATAATTCCATATAAAAACATGAAGAACTAACTTTTCTTCAAAATTGTAACATAAGGCATCAAAGATTACCATCTGCTTCAGAAATAATCAGCAATACTTGAAGTAAGACTGCCACCTATTGGCTGAACAGATACCAGACTTCATCCAGACCCATCAGGCTTAATGTCTCCCCTATGCTGAAAATGCCATACTTGTTTAGATGATTTACCTGCCTATGCCCTTCAGGCATATGATAAGTGATCCCTCCCATATTGACAAAAGTATACCGAAGCTTTCCTCTTCACTATCAACCCCCATTTCACTCTACCATCAGACAGAGGAACTTAAAATTAGTCAAGAGCACCAAGAAGGTACAGAAATGAAAATCAACCGAGCGTAAGACCGCCCCTTCCGACTAGCAGACCACCATGGGAGGTCAAGCCCAGCGGTCCAGATCTACCCACACTGGCCTGTGCGGGTTCCAGGTGCACAGCAGGCTCAGTCCACCCCTCCCCTGGAGGGGCAGACCCCCACCAGAGCCTAGGGACTGGCGCAGGACTGCCCCTTCCAACCAGGAGACCACTGGGGGAGGTCAAGCCCATCCACCCACACCAACTTACAGGCAGGACCCAGATACAGGATGCAGTAGCATTCACTGAGGGACAGACACCAGCAGGGTCTGGAAGCCCAACATCAAGGTGAGGTACAGACAATCTGCACGGGTACTACAAGAATATAGGGAAGAAACTGTAATATCTCAGATCCATACTGCAAGAAAAGAAGACACACAGACAACATGAAAAAACGAGAGGAAAGTATCCCAAACAAACCAGGACACTACAATAACCGAACCCATGGACAGCAAAGTTAATGAAATGTCAGAGAAGGAGTTCAGAAGGTTCATAATTAAAATGATCTGTGAATTAAAGAATGAACTAAATGAGAAAATACAGGCAAAAATTGATCACTCCAACAATGAGATAAGAGAGAAAATGCAGATAGCAAAAGATTACTTCAAGAGAGAGTCTGAAAAAAGAAAAACAGTCAGATATCCTTGAAATGAAGAATACAATAAATCAAATTTAAAAACTCAATAGAAAGCATAACCAACAGACTAGATCACTTGGAAGAAAGAACATCAGATAATGAAGACAAAGTATACAACCTGGAAAATAAAGTTGATCACACAATGAAGATAGTTAGAAACCATGAACAGAATATCCAAGAATTATGGGACAGTATCAAAAGACCAAATATAAGAGTTACTGGGATAGAAGAAGGCACAGGGTTGCAAAACAAAGGAATGCAAAATCTCTTCAATGAGATAATATCAGAAAATTCCCCAAGCATGAAGAACAAATTGGAAAACCAAATACAAGAGGCTTACAAGACACCAAATGTACAAAATTACAACCGATCAACACTAGGGCACATTATAATGAAAATGCCTAGCATACAGAATAAGGACAGAATCTTAAAAGCTACAAGAGAGAGGATCTCACATAATGGAGGAGATCAATTCATATCTCAGATTTTTCAACCCAGACCCTTCAAAGCCAGGAGATCGTGGAATAACATATACCAAGCTCTGAAAAAAAAAAAAAAAAAAAAAAAAAGGATGCCAACAAAGAATTTTACATCCAGCAAAACTAAGCTTTAGACTTGATGATGAAATAAAAACCTTCCATGATAAACAAAAGTTAAAAATATTTACAACTAGAAAGCTTGCACTACAGAATATCCTCAGCAAAATATTCCAAGAGGAAATGAAAAACAATGATGACAATCAGCAGAGGGAGGGATTACACTAAAGGAAAATCTAATCAGAGGAGAAACCAAGTCATGTTAAATATCAAAAATAAACAACAATGGCTGGGAATAAAAATCATGTCTCAATAATAACCTTGAATGTTAATGGCCTAAACTCACCAATCAAAAGACATAGACTAGCAGGTTGGATGAAAAGAAAAGACCCAACAATATGCTGCCTCCAACAGACTCATCTCATAGAAAAAGACATCCACAAACTGAAGGTGAAGGCTTGGGAAAAAGCATACCACTCACATGGACTGCAGAAACAATCAGGGGTTTCCATCCTCATATCAAATAAAGCAGACTTCAAATTAAAGTCGATCAAAAAGGATAAAGAAGGACACTACATACTGTTGTAGTGTCCAACCAACACCAACAAGACGTAATAATTATAAATATATGTGCCCCAAACAATGGAGCATCTACGTTCATCAAACAAACTCTTCCCAAGTTCAAGAGTCAAATAGACCACAACACAATAATTTGGGGTGACTTTAACACACCTCTTTCATCACCAGATAGATCTTCCAAACAAAAGTTGAATAAAGAAACTATACAACTCAATAATACAATCAATACCTTAGACTTAACTGACATACATAGAATATTTCATCTTTCAATGAGAGAATACACTTTTTTCTCAGCAGCACATGGATCCTTCTCTAAAACAGACCATACATTATGCCATAAAGCAACTCTTAGCAAATATAAAAAAGTAGATATACTACCCTCCTTTCTACCAGATCATAGTGGAACAAAATTAGAAATCAATGATAAAGTAAAAAATAAAATCCACTCCATCAATAAATAATATGCTACTGAATGAACAATGGGTTAAAGAAGACATCAATGAAGAGATTTAAAAATTTTTAGGTGAATGAGAACATAGATACAATGTGTCTAAATCTCTGCGACACTATGAAAGCAGTTCCAAGAGGAAAGTTCATTGCATGGAGTTCATTCTTTAAAAGAAGAAAAGGTCAACAAATAAATGACTTAACATTACATCTCAAAGCCCTAGAAAAAGAAAGAACAAATCTACACCAAAAGCAGCAGAAGACAGGAAATAATTAAAATCAGAGCTGAAATCAATGAAACTGAAACAAAAGAAACAACTGAAAAAATTGACAAAACAAAAAGGTGGTTCTTTGAAAAAATAAATAAAATTGACAGACCCTTTGCTATGCTAATGAAGAGAAGAGAGAAAACTCAAATCACTATCATACGTGATGAAAAAGGAAGTATCACAACAGGCACTACAGAAATACAGAAGATAATTAGAAATTATTTTGAAAACCTGTCTCCAATAAAATAGAAAGTATCGAAGGCATGGACAAATTTCTAGAGTCATATAATTTGCCCAAATTGAATCAGGAAGATATACACAATTTAAACAGATCAATTTCAAGCAATGAAACAGAAGACGCCATCAAAAGCCTACCAAACAAGAAAACTCCAGGTCTGAATGGAACACAGCTGAGTTATACAAGACCTTTAAGGAAGAAATAATACCAATATTCTTCAATTTATTTCAAGAAATAGAAAAAGGGGCAGCACTTCCAAACTCATTCTATGAGTCCAATATCACTCTGATTCCAAAACCAGGCAAAAACACATCAAAAAAAGAAAAAAGAAAAAAAAAGAAACTTCAGACCAATACCTCTAATGAACATAGATGCAAAAATTCTCAATAAAATTCTGGCAAATCAAATACAAAAACATATCAAAAAGATCATGCACCACGATCAACTGGAATTCATCCCAGGGATGCAAGGTTGGTTTAACATACGGAAATTGATAAATGTAATTCATCACATCAATAGACTTAAAGATAAGAACCCTATGATCATCTCAATAGAAGCAGAAAAAGCATCTGACAAAATATAGCACCCCTTTATGTTCAAAAAACTAGAAAAACTTGGGATAACAGGAACATATCTCAACATCATGAAGCCTATCTATGCTAAGCCCCAGGCTAACATCATTCTAAATGGAGAAAAATTGAAGGCATTTCCTCTAAAAACTGGAACAAGAAAGGGATGCCCTCTTTCTCCCCTTCTATTTAACATAGTTCTCAAAACACTGGCCACAGCAATTACACAGATGAAAGAAATTAAAGGGATACACATAGGAAAATAAGAACTCAAATTGGCACTTGCTGATGATGATTCTATACCTGAAGACCCTAAAAGTTCCACCAGAAAACTTAGAACTAGAAAATGAATTCAGCAAAGTAGCAGGATATAAAATCAACACCCATAAGTCAAAGGCATTTCTGCATATCAGTGAAAAATCCTCAGAAAGGGAAATGAAGAAAATTACCCCATTCTCAATAGCCTCCAAAAAAATAAAATAAAATACTTGGGAATCAAATTAATGAAAGAAGTGAAAGATCCATATAATTAAAATTACAGAATCCTAAAGAAAGAAATCAAAGAAAACCTTAGAAAATGGAAAGATCTACCTTGCTCTTCGATAGGCAGAATTAATATTATCAAAATGACCATATTTCCAAAAGCACTATACAGGTTTAATGCATTCCAATCAAAATTCCAATGACATTCCTCTTAGAAATAGAAAAAGCAATCATGAA